GATGATGTCCTCCCATCGCACATTGGGGCTGTGCAAATAGATGTCCTTTGGAAAAACATACACACACACACAACAGAGAATGAGTGATGCAAGTGGAAGACATAAGCCAGAAATTGGCCCCCGCACACATCCCGGTTGCGTAAATAGGTGTCTTTTAGAATGAAACATCGGGTAAGGGAAATGGATAGAGCCTGGGCCTTCATTAATACAAAAGATCAATTCATTCAAAACAAATCCCTCTGGTACTCTGTAGTGGACACATTTAGCAAGAGTCATATGGAGGATTTTCACATTTTTACATTATATTCCAAAGAACAAATTAAGATAAAATCAGCTTCTCCCCAGGCTTGTTTATTAATGTGTGTGTGTGTGTGTGTGTGTACATCAACCAGTTGAGGGTGTCTCTAGGCAACTAGTGGATGCCACCACTTAAATGTGGCTATGAGTGCATGCAGAACTTAGCTTATTAGGTCAACGGCTAACTACCACAATTGTGAAAGCAACAGTATAGAAATCCCATTACATGTGTAAAATAAAACGACTGAATAGAGGCTGTCAGGTGTTGCTTGCAACACTCGCAATGTGATGAAGCACAGAAACAGGAGTGACTGACTTAGTACACAAAATAGTACATTTCCGAGTACTCTGCTTCCTCAGTCTCAAAGTAAAGTTTAGAGGAAAGGCAATGTGAACAAAGACAAAAACGCTGCATAGAAGGAAAAAAGAAGGTGAGAAAAGAGTTGAAAGACATGCGTGCCAATAAAAATAAGGTGAGAGAATGAAAACAAAATGAGAAAAGAATAGAATAAATGACACAGAGTTACCTGAAGGAACAATGAGAGCCTTCTACACTGCAATAAGCATTTAATTTCATTGCATACACACTGCTAATGCAGTTTTTTGGGAGAATAGGACCAAACAAAGGAAGATGCAGTTAAAACATAATAGAGAGACAATGAAGAGGACGTTATTATGAATTATTATGAATAAACTGAAAATAATCTGAAGAAGAAGAAGTCAAACAGGCCTAGACAGTGCTTGCAATCACTGGTTGCTAGGAGGAAATTATTATTCTCCATCTGGTTGCAAGCGGTTGCTGGCAGTCACTGTGAATCTGATTCCTAAACCAGCAGCGGAAAATCTGATAGACTAGCATTCCCATCCTGTTTCCCAATAATAATAATTCCCTACTGCAACTTCATCTGTCATATTTTTTTTTCTTGTTGCTAACCATCTTCTCTCCCGTTATGTTTTAGGTAAATACAGAGAAGGCGATGAGAACAAAATAAGCCGAGCTCCCCACCTGATATGTGACAGTTTCCCAGATGCTGTTGAACACATCCTGCAGAATCTGCTTTGAGCGTCAAGTAAAAATAACCTTCCGGTTTCATTTGCACAAGTAAACACTGCTAGTGTTTCAACAGTGGAGAGACTTAAGATTTGAAATTATTCTCCGCAGAACATCTTGATAAATCAAAAATAGTCATGCTATAGTAGTTTGACTCAACGTACCAGTCACCAAAGTTTTATGGTTTTAGGTTGTATACTTTTTGTTTTCAAATAATAAAAAAGAAAACAAATGATCAATGAACAAATATTTTCTCCATGTCAAAAAGAGTTTTTCAAAGCTCCACAGTTATTAAAATGTACACTGTTCCAACCTGCAGTAGCTTGTCACAAATATCCAAAGTATAGGAAACATTTTACGCTAATATATAGTCATTAGTGTAAATTATTAGTATAGTGCAGGATATAAATTTGTAACAGTAAAAACAAGTTATCATCACTTTTAGTGGCGTTAGTATGAAAGTCTTTACATTCATGTTATGTGTACTAGTGTCAGACAGATTGGTACTCTCTCTCCCAGGCTGTGTATCTGTCCATCAGGTTTCGCGCTGAGGGTTTGGTGTGTTCAATCACATTCAGGAAATCAGCTGTTGTTACAGTTTCCAGTTGGATGGCAGGCATGTCTGTGTCATCTGTAAAAGAGAATCACAGTAAGACAGAGAAAATGGCTGTTGCAGGGGTCAATCTTGACATTGTGTGTGTGTGTTGTCCTACCATCCTGATGTGACTCCAGAGCATCAAAGATCTTTCGAACTGGTCTCATGGCAGCTTCCTTACATGCCAATCTTATATCTGAGCCAGAGTAGCCCTCCATCTCCTGGAAATAAAACACACAAATGTACAGATGCACATGAGTGAACACATTTCCTTCCAGATAACATATATGATTTATGAAATTATATTAATTACAGAAAAATTGTTAAGCATAACGATTAAACACTTGACAAACTCCATACACACTTTTGCCAGTGCTTCGTAGTCTAGCACAGTGCGTAGCTCCACCCCTCCTGTGCAGCTGAGAGGAGGCAGCCAATGAGAAATCATGGCTTGGCGAGCTGGTGAAGAGGGAAGACTCACTAGAATCCGCTTCTCTAACCTCCTCAGCATTGCATGGTCCAGTTCCCTGAGAGAAGATTTATTAGAAACAAACAAAGGCAGATTTAACTGTCAGAATTTTATAGCTGTCTTAGTAGTCATCTTTTTTTATTTATACAGCTGTGACTTTGACATCATAACATCATAATCTTGTGTTTGTCAAGAAAATGAAGGGTCTCTTTTCAAATGCATTCAATGCAAGAAAAATGAATGAATGTTAAAATCAGGCTGAGATGATGCTGGCAATAAATGTACGAGGAGGGTTGAAACAGCAAAAATAGTGAGTTGCATTTTTCTGTCTTCCTATTCATTTGTAAATGCAACAGAAGGCCAGTAAATCCAAATGTGCATGTGATTAATCTACCAAGGTAGGTTGGAGGCAGCAAGTACAAAAACCAGGTCATCTGATCTGGCTAGTCCATCCATCTGAACCAGTAACTCGGTCTTCATCCTGCGACTCCCCTCGTGCTCGCCCCTGAAAGCAGTAAACAGAGGTTTTGTGGACAGCAGCAGTGGCACATCTACATTTTACGGCACTTAGTGGTTGAGCTCACCCCATACTGCTTCCTCTCTGGCCCATCACTGACTCAAGCTCATCCAGGAAGATGGTAGATGGAGCGTGGTACCTGGCCAGCTCAAATAGAACCTGCAGACACGTGTATTAAATCATTTACACTAATTAGCCCCCCCCCCTCCCCTCAGAGAATAGTATTCAAAAATGTTTTGAATGACAACCTACCCTGAC